ATATATTTTATTAGGAAGAGAGATTTTTTAAGAATCGGGCGGGAAGTTAAAATTTCAGGATTTTGTTTTTATATATAGTATAGATTGTATTACACTATTTTATAATATTAGAATAGAATTTTAACGCAGAATTATTGTACGAATGGGAAGGTATAAATTAATATATTTTATTAGCAAAAGAGATTTTTTAGGAATTGGGCGGGAAGTTAAAATTTCAGGATTTTGTTTTTATATATAGTATAGATTGTATTACACTATTTTATAATATTAGAATAGAATTTTAATGCAGAATTATTGTACAAATGGGAAGGTATAAATTAATATATTTTATTAGCAAGAGAGATTTTTTAGGATTTGGGCGGGAAGTTAAAATTTCAGGATTTTGTTTTTATATATAGTATAGATTATATTACACTATTTTATAATATTAGAATAGAATTTTAACGCAGAATTATTGTACGAATGGGAAGGTATAAATTAATATATTTTATTAGGAAGAGAGATTTTTTTAGGAATCAGGCGGAAAGTTCAAATTTTAGGATTTTGTTTTTATATATAGTATAGATTGTATTACACTATTTTATAATATTAGAATAGAATTTTAACGCAGAATTATTGTACGAATGGGAAGGTATAAATCAATATATTTTATTAGGAAGAGAGATTTTTTAGGAATCAGGCGGAAAGTTCAAATTTCAGGATTTTGTTTTTATATATAGTATAGATTGTATTACACAATTTTATAATATTACAATAAAATTATAACCCACAATTATTGTACGAATGGGAAAGTAGAAATCAATATATTTTATTAGGAAGAGAGATTTTTTAAGAATCGGGCGGGAAGTTCAAATTTCAGGATTTTGTTTTTATATATAGTATAGATTGTATTACACTATTTTATAATATTAGAATAGAATTTTAACGCAGAATTATTGTACGAATAGGAAAGTAGAAATCAATATATTTTATTAGGAAGAGAGATTTTTTAGGAATTGGGCGGGAAGTTAAAATTTCAGGATTTTGTTTTTATATATAGTATAGATTATGAATCCTTTTCCGTTTTATCCTCGTAAATAATAATCAATAATATTTTCCTTTTTCATTTTCAGCCAATTATAGATCCTTTTCCGTTTCATCATCGTGAATAATAATCAATAATATTTTCCTTTTTCATTTTAAATCAATTATGGATCATTTTCCGTTTCATCCTCGTGAATAATAATCAATAATATAATACTATGATAACAAAATAAATTATTATGTTAATAAAATTAGCGTCGATAAGAGGCACTAGAAATAATGACATCGATATATGCGCATGCACACACATTAAATTCTTAGTCTTGAAGGTGAACTATAGAGTGAAACTTTGTTAATCAATCTCTTAGTTTTTTCTATGTTAAAAACATTTCTAATTTTTGTTCTTCAATTTTTAAAGAAATTTGGAGAAATTTTTCCGTTAGTAAACAGGTGATTGATATTGCAATTCATTTTTTCACACATATACCCAATTCAATTAGAATTTAAATGATGCAATATATTATCACATCATTCTCAATCCTTATACATTTCATTTTTAACACTTTTTTTTAGGCGCTAGGGGTCGCTAAGTTGAGGCGATCGCCTTAGGTGATTTTTAATCAGCTGATCGACTAATTGACCAACTAGGCACCCTAAGCGCCGACCCAGCCAAGTTGAGCGCTTAACTCGGCCGAGTGGAGCACCTAATTCGATCGAGTCAGTGCCTAACTCAGTCGAGTCGGTGCCTAACACGGCCGAGTTGGTGCTCAACTCGGCCGAGTAATTTATTTTTTGTTTACTCGACTACGTCTCTTCTATATTTCTCAAGCCATGCATGTACTCAACTAACCATCTAACATATGCAGTTGACTAATTCGAGAGATTATAGCAGTCTAACAAGTAACAATTCCTAGCCGTGAGTAAAAAAAGTGGAGACAATATACTCGAATTACTAGGCCGCCTAGGTGTTAAGCTCCTCGGCTTCTTCAAAATTGCACAAGAGTAACAAGGTAATTAAGAGTGGATCGGAGAAATATAAACGAGAAATAAGAAAAATCACCTTAGTTGTTGGAATTGAAATATCTCTAGCCAACAATATAAAAAAGATGGAAGCAACTTTGCATTTGCATGTGATTCATCATTATAAGCCGTTGACAAAGAAATTATCATCTGTACCCTTAAAACACAAAAATAATATATAGAAAAAAAGTTATTTTATATCATATTGAGTTTTAAATCAAACATGTATAAATTATATTAAAATAAAGTGAATGTGCAACAACAAAAATAATTCAATTAGAAATACTAAAAATCTAACCCAACAGAGTATCTCAAGTGGCAAATGAGTTCTCTTATGGGGGAGGATTTCAGGATAACTTGGGTTTGACTCTCACAAGTGACGATCCCTTTGCGCCAACTTGTGTGTGGTTGACACCAAAAAAAAAAATACTAAAAATCTTCAAGTTGAAATTTGTCAGTTAGGTGAATTTTTGGTTTGAAGACGTACCGCTTTTTTTTGTTCTTCTGATAAATGCATAACTCATACATCTATTCAGAAACACTGGCGGCAAAAATCACATTTGAAGTAAGGTAAAACTTCTTTTTTTTTTTTTTTTTTTTTTTTTTTTTTTGAAAACCAAGTAAGGTAAAACTTAAACAAGAGGTAATTAAAGTAACCTCTCTGATCTATATAATTAATTAGTATTGAAGAACAAGAAATTAGTAATTGAACAAATAAATACGAGTTAATTAATTTCATTTTTAATTCATAATTTATATAATCATACTTTCACTTTTGATTCTTAATTAAATATTTTCAGGTATGATAATTATATTTCTCCTACTTGATTATTCCTTTCAGAGAAACATGAAGCTCTATTTTGTTATACAATCCATGAAAAGGAGTGTAGGAGTTGGTGAACAAACATCCTCGTTGTAGTAATAGGATTTTTTAATGTTCGGTTGTTCAAATGATAAAACTTGTCCCTAATCAGTGCTAAACTTGGGATTAATTGTTGCAATCAAGAGGTTAATGATTCTAACAACTCAAAGTACATAATTCAATTTATATCCTTAAATTACACAAAATATAACATTTTAAAACTCTACATTATTATTGGGAAGATTTAAAAGTGGGGACGGCAATTCTACCATTATGCATGTGGACCATTCACTTTCTTAATCAAATTACCATTTTGTTGATTAAACCTTCTAAACAGAACTCCTTAACTTTATCTGTTGTGTTTTTAGAATTTATACAATATATTATAATGTATATGATAATTTTATCCTCCCAAATGCTCTGTCGGGTCGGGGTGTGGGGACCCTTAAGGTTGGGGTTCAGCCTTTTGGAAGAATGTATATGATAATTTTAAGATATTAAAGATATTGTCTAGCACATCTAAAAAAGATTTTTTTTTTTATTGTGATTTATCTCGATTTCTTATGTGGTTTGTAAGTTATTACACACTGCTGGAAATTATAAAATTTCCAACCACCTGAAAGTGGTCTTAAATCCAGTCGAAAGTAAAAAGTGGTCGGAAATAGCAACAAAGGTTTTTCCGGATACCAAAAGTGGTCGGAACAAGGCTTTCGACTTGATTTAAGATCACTTTCAGGTGGTCGGAAATTCCATAATTTCCAGTTGTGACACATTAGCAAAATTTATCAAACAATTAATAATGATCAAATAAGTCAAAATTGACATATGGAGGTAAAAAAATCACATTAAATTTAAGCATTTACAGCACAACTTTTTTTTTTTTTTTTTTTTTTTTTTGGAAAACCAAAACGGAATATATATTAAACTAGATCAACTTTTAGTATATTAGCATTTATTTACTGCTTGCCCCTTAAATTTTGAATTTCTTTTTTGACAAATGTGGTCCCGCTTCTACGGGTTGGAGTCATAGCTTGATTAGGTAATTTTTTTAAAATATGAGATTTTGGATGATTGACAGACACGGCAATGAGATTACCATTGCCGTTGGACGTGGGAAGTGGTGGAACAACCAAACAAGAAAGAATAAAAGAGTACAAATAAGAGTCGGTAGGGTTTCTTTAGTCTAGGGATGGTAACGAGGCGGGGTGGAAAGTATACTTTTCGTTTCCGTCTCCGTACCCATTTCCGATGGAGAATTGAAAATAGTCTCTATTCCCGTTCCCTCGGGGAATTTAGTGGGACGGAGATTTCTCGTCTTCGATCATTTTTTAGTCAAAATTTTAAACTAATGTACGTTTTAATTTTAAAAATTAAAAATTTAAATTTAATTTAAAAAATTATATATATATAATTTATTTATTTTTAAATATAATAATTTTTTGGAGACGGGCGGGCCGGGGAGGGGTATCCCTGTCCCCGTCCCCGTTCCCGTTCCCCGAACATTTTTCTCATCTTCGTCCCCGTTGAGGCGGGGATCGGGGCACATTGTCATCCCTATTCTTTACTTTATATATTTACCAAAAAATGAAAAATAATTATATAATATCTAATTTACATTCTTCTCCCAAATTATATCTACAATCTACATCTACAAATATAATAAAAGCTAATAATGTTAGACCCTTAACAGAAATAAATAATAATAATAATAATAATAATAATAATAATAATAATAATAATAATAATAATAATTGGTGTAATTGTTTCTTGAAATGATGAAATCCGATTCAATTAGAATTCGGTTACAGAGATAGAGACTAATACTAAAGATAATTGCTACACGTAAAAGTCTCCTGACTAATAGACTATTCTAAGCTGACTAGTCTAACACCACATATTAAATATCTTATTACAAGAGGAAATAATAATAACACTAAACATATTATTCACACACCCCCTCAAACACAAGGTGGGTGTGCGACCACATTGAGCTTGTCACGCAGAAGCTGGAAGCGAGGACCCGGTAGCGGTTTTGTGAAGATATCTGCCAGTTGATCTTTAGTAGAGACAAAATTAACGATGAAGTCGTCGGATGCTACCTTGTCCGTACGAAATGATAATCAATCTCCACATGCTTTGTACGAACATGAAAAACCGGATTAGCGCAGAGATATGTGGCGCCCAAATTGTCACACCACATAGTAGAAGGCTGACCGGAGTGTAAACCAAGTTCCCGAAGTAGAGAAACAACCCACGTGACTTCCGCGGAAACATCTGCAAGAGCTTTATACTCTGCCTCGGTAGACGAGCGGGTAACTGTTCGTTGTTTTCTGGATAACCACGAAATGAGATTGGAGCCCAGGAACACAACATAACCACTCGTACTTTTCCTGTCAACTGGACATCCAGCCCAGTCTGAATCTGAGAAGGCATGCAAGGCAGTCAATGTCGACGGTGATAGACGCAACCCATAGTCCTGAGTACCCTTGACATAACGGAGAACTCGTTTCAGCAGGCCCCAGTGGTCTTCTGTGAGTGAGTGCATGAACTGACATAATCTATTGACTGCATAGGATAAATTAGGACGAGTAATCGTCAAATACTGTAAGGCCCCCACAATGCGACGATATTGAGTTGGATTGTCAAACGGTTTCTCAGATGGTGAGACAGCTTGAGTAACAGCAGCAGGAGTGGCCAACAGCTTGCAATCACCCATTCCTGCACGTGTGAGAATATCACCCAGGTAACGACGTTGCAAAAGAAGCATACCATCGTTTACCTTCACTGTTTCAATACCCAAAAAGAACCCTGGTGTCCCTAAGTCCCGAATCTTGAATGTCGTGGATAACTGTTTGAGAAGAGTGTCAATGAGCACAGCATCATTACCCAGCATGATTATGTTGTCCACATATACTAATAAAAAACCCGGGCTGTACCAGCGGTGTAGTGGAAAAGAGGCACATCTGTCTTGGATGCGACGAATCCTGTAGAGAGTAAGAAACCATGCAGTCTCTTGAACCAGGCACGGGGTGCTTGTTTGAGGCCGTATAGAGAGCGCTGGAGATAACAGACGTGACCAGGTTGCATGGGATCTTCATATCCTGGCGGTTGTTTCATGTGTACCGTTTCTGCTAGATGCCCATTTAGGAATGCATTATGAACATCAAGTTGTCGTAAGGTCCAGTTATAGACACAGCAAGTGAGAACAGCAGCCGAACTGTAGTTGGCTTGACAACTGGACTGAAGATGTCAAAGAAGTCCTCACCGGCTACTTGGTTAAACTCCTTGGCAACAAGCCTTGCTTTATATCTCTCAACAGAGCCATCTGCATTGCGTTTAGTTCTAAAGACCCACTTACACCCAATTATATTCATATGTGGTTCTACTGGGACTAGCTGCCAAGTGTTGTTGTGGAGGAGTGCATTAAACTCCTGGTCCATGGCGTCACGCCAATGTGGATACCCTGCAGCTTGAGAGTAGCAAATAGGGTCGATAGTGGCACTTAGAGCGTGAAAGTGCTCATCTGTACCTTGTGTCATATGTCGGAGACGCATACCATGTGGCGTGGGTGGAGCCGGTGGTTTTATGCGACGAGCTCTGACCAGTGCCCTAATAGCCAATGGAGCGGGCTCAGTAGCTAACGGAGCAGGCTCACTAGCTAAGGGTATGGGCTCCGGCTCGGTGGGTGGTGCAACCGCAACTGGGGGCAGTATAGGTTGCGGTACTAAGGGCCCGACTGCCCAGGGTGCCGCGGGTGTTGTCTGTTGCGGTGTGTTCTGCACAGTTGCATCTGAAAAGGGAAAAGCAGTTTCGTCAAACCGGACATGACGACAGATATAGATTTTTCCAGTTGTTAAGTCCATGCATCTATATCCCCTATAGGAGGGAGGGTAACCTAAGAAGATACATGGGGCGGAGCGATACTCTATCTTATGGCGATTATAAGGCCGTAGATAGGGATAGCACCGACACCCGAACACTCGTAGGAACGTATATGTTGGGGACATGTTATAGAGACGTGAGTAGGGGCTTTGGAACTGTAGGACGGAGGAAGGCAGATAGTTTATCAAGGTGGTGGCTGTTTCAAAGGCATAGTCCCAGTACTGCAGTGGGACTGAGCTTTCAGCGAGTAGAGCGAACCCGGTTTCGACAATGTGTCTATTCCGGCGCTACCCTTCCGTTTTGTTCGTGCGTGTAAGCACATGACTGTCTATGATTTATGCCTAGGGATTGAAACGTGTTATGGAGTTTCCGGTATTCGCCCCCTAGATCGGATTGAATTGATTTGATAGAACGTGAGAATTGTCGTTCTACCATGACTCGGAACGACTCAAAACATTTGTATACATCCGCCTTTACCCGTAAAGGATAAAACCAGGTAAAGCGGAAATAATCGTCTACAAACAAGAGGAAATAACGAAAACCAGTACTGGAAATAATAGGAGACGGACCCCAAACGTCCGTGTACAGTAAATCTAATACATTTGTACTACAAGAATTGACCCTATCTAACGAAAATCGGGACGATTTTCTAAGGTGACACGATGTGCAAACGCCCATTGATTTTGATTTATTGTCAACCGGACATGTTTGTAGAACATTATTTAGGACCCGATTATGTGGATGGCCAAGTCTGCGGTGCCACATGACTGGAGTGGTTCGGGAACTTATGAATGCGAAACGTGACCGAGACAGCGGAAGTGTGTATAGCCCTCCAGAAGTGGGACCTTTAAACAGGGTTGCCCTAGTTATTGAATCCTTCACAAAAAAAAAAAAAAAAAAAAAAAAAAAAAAACAATCTTTGTGAAATTCAAAAAACACGTTGTTTTCGTTAGTAAATCTTTGAACTGAAAGTAATGGGACAGACAACTCAGGCACATGCAATATATTAGACAATTTAAGAGACTTTGACACGGATGGAATAGATGCAGAACCAACACGTGAAATAACCAAACCTGCGCCATAACCGACTCGCAGGATGTCATTGCCATTATACTCATCAGACTGAGACATCATTGGCGCATCGGGCGTGGCATGGGTAGATGCTCCGGTATCCGGGAACCAGTTGTTAACGTCACTGGTCGTGGACTCATCACCAGCGACCGTCAGATTCGCCTGGGCAGGTGGCGGTGCATTGTATCTCTTAAAACAATGAACGGCAGTGTGTCCGATGGCGCGACAGATCTGGCACCTCGGAGGATTACCTCGGTCATTGTGACCGCCACGGCCGTACCCGCCGCGACCTCCACGACCGCATCCACCACGGGAATGGCTATCGCCATTCTGATTACCTCGACCACGGGCAGTGTACAGACCAGAATGCGACGCTCCGGCAGCCGGCGATGGGTAGTCATCAGCAAGAATAAATTCTTGCGCCTGTAGGAAATCAGACAGCTGAGGGATGGTTATCGGATTACCTGGATCCGTCAAGGAGGTTGCCGTGGCCCTGAACTCCGGGCGTAGATCCAAGAATACGAACAAGTTCTGTTTGACTAGAAGCTGCTCACGTCCCAAGAATTCTGCCAACGAACTGTTGCCTTGGCGCAACGACTGGAACTGCTCGAGTAGATTCAGGTAGCGTGCACGTACGTGTTGACGACCCGAGGGCGGGGGTGATGGATTGCCATACTTCCCGCGACGTGTTCCGGCCAACCGCCAAGTACATCACTTCTTCTGACAGTGATGAAATCATAAGAGAAAGGATGGATTGGTCTTGTTGCATCCACACCCGGTGCGCTGGATTGACCTGAGGCACGGCAGTGGTGGCTCCGGAGTCGTCGGACGGTGGTGGGTCGATCATCGGCGGCGGACACGGAGTTTCTCCGTCCACGTAGCCAAGCAGGCCCTGTCCCCGGAGGAAGGGCACGAACTGTGTGCGCCAGAACAGGAAATTTTGTGAGGTGAGTTTGATTGAAACAAAGTGATGGGTTGTGGCTAGAGTGTTTGGGGTGGTGGCCGGCGGTGGTGTACCGGCGGTAACAGTCCTCTAAGAGGAATTGGTCGACATCGGGAGTTGATCGACGATAGGGAGAGAGAGAAAGGCGGAGGATCTAACCTGCGGCTTAGCTGATACCAGATGAAATGCGATTCAATTAGAATTCGGTTACAGAGATAGAGACTAATACTAAAGATCTACACGTAAAAGTCTCCTGACTAATAGACTATTCTAAGCTGACTAGTCTAACACCACATATTAAATATCTTATTACAAGAGGAAATAATAATAACACTAAACATATTATTCACAGAAATGAATGGTTAATATTATTTTGATTTTTGTATTTTTAATGATTTTCCTTATTTATCCTCTATTATATTATTTTTTTTTCACTTAAATAACCCTTAATTTCGTTAGTATAAACTTTAATAATGAAATATTCGTTAACTATTTATTAATTATTCTTAACTTATTCATTGGTTTCTATAAAAAAAAGTTTAGGTTCGAAGTTTCGAACTTCATCCCAATCAGAGTTGGCATAATTATTAAACATATATTTTTATCCATTATATTTTTGTTAAGCCCTAATTATTATTATTATATTATATATAATAATAATATTTTAGGGAATATAGTGGAAGTTGGAGCAACAATGTTTGGATAGAAGATGAAGAGAAGCCATTTTGCTTTCACACTCATTTATTGTTGGTAGAGTTAATTCCAGCAATGGTCTTCCGACTATATTGATTCTTTTAAATTAGTCATCAATTTTAAATTTGGACACTTTACGTCCCTTGACTTTCAATTTCTTTCCAATTGAGGTCCTTTCGTCAGATTACGGTAAATTGGACTTTAAATCAAAGGGTAAATTAATCATATCATCTGCCTAATATATAATTCTTCGTATTTTTCCATTTTCATTCAATTATGGATCCTTTTCCGGTCCGTTTCATCCTCGTGAATAATAATCAATAATATTTTCCGGTTTCATTTTCAGTCAATTATAGATCCTTTTCCGTTTCATCATCGTGAATAATAATAAATAATATTTTCCCTTTCTATTTTCAAGTCAGTTATAGCTCTTTTTCCGTTTCATCCTCGTGCATAATAATTAATAATATTTTTCTTTTTCATTTTCCGTCAATTATGGATCCTTTTCCGTTTCATCCTCGTGAATAATAATTAATAATATTTTCCTTACTTATTTTCAGTCAATCATGGTTCTTTTTCTGTTTCATCCTCTTTTATAATAATCAATAATATTTTCTTTTTCAATTTTCAGTCAATTATGCATCATTTTCCTATTCATCCTCGTGAATAATAATCAATAATATTTTCCTTTTTCCATTGTCAGTCAATTATGGATCCTTTTTCATTTCATCCTCATGAATAATAATCAATAATGCATCTTTACTCCAACCATATTCTTTGGCGGAAGTCAAGGCAGCACTTTTCTCGATGGCACCGGAGAAGGCCCCAGGCCCGGACGGTATGACACCTGCTTTTTACCAACAATTTTGGCCGATACTAGGCCATGATTTATACATTTTTATCATGAACTGCATAACGAGTCGGACTCTCCCACAGTGTCTTAACGACTCCAATATCATGTTAATCCCAAAGAAGAAGGTACCCGAAAGGGTTTCTGACCTGCGCCCCATTGCTCTTTGCAATGTGGCTTACAAGGTTCTGGCTAAGATGTTAGCCAACCGACTTAAAGACGTCCTAGAAACAGTCGCGTTGTCTCGGCGTCCCAAAGCGCCTTTATACCGAACAGGTTACTAACTGATAATGTGATTGTAGCCGGGGAAGTGGGCCATTTCCTACGACGCAAAACTATTGGGATTATGGGTTGGACTGCTTTAAAACTCGACATGGCCAAGGCCTATGATCGAATGGAATGGGGGTTTTTGGAAGGAATGTTGAATACTTTGGGGTTTGCTAAGGAGTGGACAGAATTGCTGATGATGTGTGTGACGTCAGTCCAATATGCCATCCATGTGAATGGCGAGAAGGTAGGGACAGTCTACCCTACGAGAGGCATCCGCCAAGGGGACCCGTTATCCCCATATCTGTTTATCCTGTGTGCTGAAGGCCTTTCTATCCTTTTGCAACAGGCTGAAGCCCGGGGGGATATACATGGGATTAGGGTGGCCAGGGGGGCCCCACCTGTCTCACATCTCTTCTTCGCGGACGACAGTCTTCTATTCTTCAGGGTCGTAGAGTCGGAAGCAGTTCACATACAAGATTGCTTGAATACTTACAGTGCTGTGTCGGGTCAGTGAATAAATTATGATAAATAAAATGTCATGTTCAGTTCAAATACTAAAGCTGATATAAAAACCGTGGTGTCCACTACTCTGGGTGTCCCTGTAACGGCTGATCTGGGTCGTTATTTAGGACTCCCATCGGTCCTAGGCCGCAATAAAACGGCCACGTTCAGGTATATTGAACAAAGAATTCGGGAAAGAATCGGGGGTTGGCAACAAAGATTTTTATCTAGGGTTGGAAAGGAGGTTCTACTGAAAAGTATTGCCCAAGCTTTGCCCATCTTCACCATGTCGGTTTTTTTATTACCAGGTCGAGTCTGTGACTCAATTGAGAAGTGTTTTAATAGGTTCTGGTGGGGGGGGGGGGGGGTAATTCTGCTAGTAAAGGCATTCATTGGCTAAGTTGGAGTCGTCTGTGTGTACCAAAGGATCAGGGGGGTCTAGGCTTCAAGCGGCTACATGAATTTAACATTGCTTTATTGGCTAAACAGGGATGGCGGTTGATGATCTATCCCGATTCTTTAGTGAGCCGCATTATGAAGGCGAAATACTATCCAAAGAAAGACTTCATCGATGCTCAACTGGGGGGTAGTCCGAGTTACATTTGGAGAAGCATCATGGCTGGACAACCCTAACTTAAAATTGGCTCTGCCCGGCGTATCGGGAATGGTAAATCATCCAATATTTGGGCTTGGCCTTGGTTGTCTGCTACACAATCACCTGAGCTCCACACCCCTATTATTGATGAACTCAGAGATGCTACAATCAATGGTCTCATGGACTCACAAGGGTGCTGGGATGCAGAAATCCTACAGGACCTTTTCATTGAAAGTGACCGTATCCAAATTATGGCGACGCCTATCTCACCTTTGCTTGAAGACTCGTGGCGTTGGCAAGGCGACATGCGAGGTATGTATACTGTAAAACACGGCTATGATATTCTCACTGATTCCCGGCATCACCTCAACACTGTACCGGACTTCACAGCCTGGAATAAATTGTGGAAATTACCTGTACCGCCAAAAGTGCGTAACCTATTATGGAGATGTGCTCGAGGTATTATGCCTGTGAAAGAGACGCTCAAACTTCGACATGTATGGATTGGGGGTGGTTGCCCTTTATGCAATTTCCCGTCATCTTTGGATCACCTTCTCTGTGAATGCAGTGTTGCGCGCAAGGTCTGGGGGAGGAGTTTGGTTTGGATGTCCACACTGTTTCATCATGCATGCAGCGGGTATTGGGATATGCAACTGAAGAACCTGTGATGCATTTGGCGGCTGCTTTCTGGACTCTATGGTCTGCCCGCAATGCCAAAGTCTGGAAGAATGAGAACCAGTCGATTGACTCTCTCCGCATCCAAGTACATCTCCTACGCAATCAATGGAGAGACACCTACAGAGGTACCGGAAGGGCAGCACGAAGCGAGGCTTTGACAGCCGCTTGGACTCCACCGTTACCAACTTGGTTAAAATGCAACGTCGACGCAACTCTCTTTGCGGATGGTGCGGGATTTGGAGCGGTTCTTCGTAATCATGAGGGTCGATTTGTCGCGGCACACAGTGGAAAACTAGCCCGTATCACTGACCCACTCATGGCGGAAGCAATTGCTGTGAAGGAGGCACTCACTTGGCTGAAGCATCACAACCGTAATAATGTACGTAGTTCTAGAAACTGATTGTTTTTCTGTTGCTTTTAATTCGCGTTGTCTTGATTTATCGTATGTTGATTTGATTGTAAAGCAGTGTCAACTGCTTGCCTGTGACATTGGGAACGTTCAGGTTCACCATGTTAAGCGGTCAGCGAATCACGTGGCTCACGTGCTTGCACGGGCAACGGATTCTGGATCTGTCCTAGGGTCGTGGGATGATCACCCACCCCAGTGTATTTCTGATTTAATGAGCTAATATACCGGTTTCCTTTTGCTTCAAGAAAAGAGTCGGTAGGGTTTCTTTAGTCTAGGGATGGCAACCTGGCGGGGCGGAGAGTATACTCCCCATCCTCGTCCCCGAAACTCTAACCACATCTCCATCTCGAGAGGAAAATTGAAAATAGTCCCCATCTCCGTCCCCGTGGGTAATTTAGCGGGGATGGAGATTCTCCGTTTCTGATCAATTTTTACTCAAAATCTTAAATGAGTGTAATTTTTAATTTTAAAAATTAAAAACTTAAATTTAATTTTTAAAAATTATATATATATATATATATATATATATATATATATATATATATATATATATATATATATATATATATTACTTATTTATTTATTTTTAATTACAATAATTTTTCGGGGATGGGACGGGAAGGGGCGGGGCGGGGAGGGGTATCCCCGTCCCCGTTCCCGGAAATTTTTTCATCCCCGTCTCGGTTGAGGCGGGGATCGGGGACGGGCACATTGCCATCTCTATTCTTTACTTTATATATTTACGTTTAATACTTTGAGAAAAAATCGAGTATTAACTAATAGTCGGAGGACCATTTTGGGTATTAACTCTTTTCTAAAATTAGTCATCGACTTTTAATTTGGACACTTTACGTCCCTTGACTTTCAATTTCTTTCCAATTGAGGTCCTTTCGTCAAACTACGGTAAATTGAACTTTAAATCAAAGAGTAAAGTAGTCATATCATTTGCCTAAATATAATTCTTCGTATTTTGCCATTTTTAGTCAATTATGGATCCTTTTCCGTTTCATTTTCAAGTCAATTATGGATCATTTTCTGTTTCATCCTCGTGAATAATAATCAATAATATTTTCCGTTTTCATTTTCAAGTCAATTATAGCTCTTTTTCCGTTTCATCCTCGTGAATAATAATCAATAATATTTTCCTTTTCCATATTCAGTCAATTATGGATCCTTTTCTGTTTCATCCCCGTGAATAATAATTAATGATATTTTTCTTTTCAATTTTCAGTCAATTATGGATCCTTTTCCGTTTCATCCTCATGGATAATAATCAATAATATTTTTCTTTTTCCATTTTTCAGTCAATTATGGATCCTTTCTCGTTTCATCCTCCTGAATAATTAATATTTTCTTTTTCCATTTTGAGTCAATTATGGATCTTTTTCTGTTTCATCCTCGTAGATAATAATCAATAATATTTTTTATTTTTAGTCAATTACAGATCATTTTTCGTTTCATCCTCGTGAATAATTAATATTTTCTTTTTCTATTTTCAGTCAATTATGGATCCTTTTCTGTTTCATCCTCATGGATAATAATCAATAATATTTTTCTTTTTCCATTTTTCAGTCAATTATGGATCCTTTCTCGTTTCATCCTCCTGAATAATTAATATTTTCTTTTTCCATTTTGAGTCAATTATGGATCCTTTTCCGTTTCATCCTTGTAGATAATAATCAATAATATTTTTCATTTTTAGTCAATTATGGATCCTTTTCCGTTTCATCCTCGTGAATAATTAATATTTTCTTTTTCCATTTTGAGTCAATTATGGATCATTTTCCGTTTCATCGTCGTGCATAATAATCAATAATATTTTTCTTTTCAATTTTCAGTCAATTATGGATCTTTTTTCCGTTTCGTCCTCGTAAATAATAATTAATTATGGCAATTGTGTTATCTCGTATTTTTAGACCGTGTCGGGTCTGTGATTTTTTATTGTCATAGGAAGTGAGATTTTTTTCCCAACAAGACTATCTCTTATACTAATTAGTATTTAGACTAATGATATTATAAAGTTGAAAACATTTATTTTAGTGACAACTATAATCATGCTTTCATATATTATTTGCATTTGTATACTTTAAATTAACGATTTAAATAAACAAATTCAGCATTCAATTACCTATCCATAAACATCTTTTATATAATATTGCATTTATATACTTTGAAGTACTTATTTAAAAATAATCATTGGACATTTTCTCATCTAAAAAACTAGTAATTCATTAAAAAAAATAAATGAATAAAATTGGTGAGTAGCTGTTTGATAAATGTGGGGTTGTGTGTGTATATAAATATATATGTCAGGGCCAGGCCCTGTGCTCTTCAAGTAAGAAGGAGAATTTCTACAAACATTAATTTTGCGCGGAACACATACAGTCCAGATGGAGATGGTGTTTAGTCTGGCAGCTGTTTCTTTTGCTGTTGTGTTCTTGGTGTGCCTGTGGAGAGTGCTGAACTGGGCATGGTTTAGGCCAAGAAAGTTGCAGAAGTGCCTGAGAAAACAGGGCCTTAAGGGGAACGAATATAAGTTCATCTTTGGGGACCTCAAACAGCTAACCAAGACCACCAAAGAAGCCAAGTCCAAGCCAATGAATCTCTCACATGACATATCCCCAAGACTCCTTCCTTTCTTCATTGATGCCATCCAAAGAAATGGTATGTTCGTTTCACAATCTTTCATTTTCACTAGATAGTATTGGCTTGAAGATATAATGAAGAGATTTGAATTATTTTTAGAGTTATATATATATACTATAATAATTGAGTACAATTGTAGGTGAGAATTCGTTTGTATGGCTTGGGCCAAACCCAATGGTACTCATCAAGGAACCTGGACTCATAAGGGATATCTTAACTAAGAACACTATCTATCATAAACCTTTTACCAATCCACTGATCAAACTGCTAGCCGAAGGAATTGCAACTTACGAAGAAGATAAATGGTCCAAACATAGAAGAATCATCAATCCTGCTTTTCATATGGAGAAGTTAAAGGTTTGTTTCCTTTGATTTTTGCTTTTGTTCTAAAATAATGAATTCGATCATAATAAGTTTGGTCTTTGTACAGCATATGGTACCAGCTTTCTACATGAGCTGTGTTGAAATGTTGGGCAATTTGGAGAAGAAGATGGGTGACCAAGGTTTAGCCGAGGTGGATGTGTGGCCTCACCTTCAACAGATAGGCGGTGATGCAATTTCCAGAACTGCATTTGGAAGCAACTATGAAGAAGGAAGAAAGATATTTGAACTCCAAAAGGAACAAGCCCAGCATAAGACAGAACTTATGCGTTCTATATATATACCAGGATGGAGGTAGAGTTCAATTCCTAGCTAGCTTGATAAAGTTTTGGTTTTGTATTGAGTGGATGGGATAATTGAAGCATTTGCTCCATTTCAACTAAAAGCCTAAGCTGATAGTTGGATTGCACATTAATGGCTATATGCTCAACAGGGATGAATTATTATATTGGTGCAGGTTCTTACCAACTTGGAGGAACAGAAGAATGAAAAAAATTGAGAAGCAAGTTCAAGCATTAATTAGGTGTATAATTGACAAGAGAGTGAAGGCAATGGAAGCAGGGGAAGGTAGTAAGGACGATCTATTGGGCATACTATTGGAATCAAATTTTAATGAAATTGAAAAACATGGAAACAAAGACTTTGGAATTACTACCAGAGAGGTGATTGAAGAATGCAAGTTGTTCTATTTTGTTGGTCAGGAGACCACCTCTGTATTGCTTGTTTGGACTATGGTTTTGTTGGGTAGGCATCAAGAATGGCAAACAAGAGCTAGGGAAGAGGTTTTTCGACTATTCGGTAAAGATAAACCAGACATCGATGGATTGAATCATATGAAAATTGTAAGTACACTAAACAATTTGATTTTTCACACATTCCATTATCAACTTTATTTTTGAATCTCCACACTAAACGTGTACATATATGTATGTATGTTTAAAAACAGGTGACAATGATTCTAAATGAATCCCTGAGACTATACACACCGGTGATATCACTTACTCGAAAGAATAAAGAAGAAACTAGGCTAGGAGACCTAATGCTTCCCCCAGGGGTTCTAATATCAATCCCAGTGATCTTAAATCATCACGACGAAAAGATATGGGGCGACGATGCAAAAGAGTTCAACCCCGAGAGATTCAGTGAAGGAGTGTCAAAGGCAACTAAAGGACAGCTAACTTTCCTCCCTTTTGGTGGAGGACCTCGAATATGTCTTGGGCTAAACTTCGCAATGCTCGAAGCAAAACTGGTAATTGCCATGATTTTACAGCGTTACTCTTTTGAGCTCTCCCCTTCGTACGCACATGCCCCCACCTCCACTGTAAGTCTGCAACCCCAGTATGGAGCTCCACTTCTGTTCCGCAAACTGTAATCAAGAATATCACATATATTCAGGCATCTACTGCATGCTTTTCAATATCATTCTGATTTGAAGTTGATTTTGTCTTACAGACCAAAGACGATGTCTAGTATCTATTGTTGTTGTTTTAAACAATTGTTGAACTATTATAAATCTCCTCTCTTATGCTTGTGTGTGCAGATTATTCTTATTTATATTCTGCTTCTTTCATCTCATACAATATTTATTTCTACGAGAAGGATTTATTAACTTCTTGGGCTGCCGGCACAAAAAAAAAAAAAAAAAAAAATTATCTATTTCATAATACAAGCAGTGTACATGATTGGCTTGAACCTATCACCTCCCACAAAAAAACTCCTCGTCTTCCCCGATAAGAAGGCAGCCTATCCAGTAGGTTGCCTTCTCACCGAAGAAGGCGAGGGGTTTTGTTTTTCTTTTTTAATGTTTTAATTAATTAAATTTTGAATTAAAAAATTATTAATTGCATCTTGTAAATCATGTTTGACCAAGGTGGTGCAAATAACACTACGAACACCCCTATGGCTATTTACACCCACCTATAAAATTGTTAAATTTTTTGTCATTTTTACAATTTTAACGTACTTTACACCTACTTTTGACTAAAGGGTGGTACAAATAGCAACATTAGCAATTACTGCATGCCCCTTAAATTTTGAATTTCTTTTTTGACAAATGTGGTCCCGCTTCTACTGGTTGGAACTTGGAATCATATGAGATTTTGGATGATAGACAGAAGCGGCAATGTAATTACCATGGGCGTCGTTGGAAAATGAAGAAAAAGAAAGAAACAAAAAAATAAGAGGAAATGAGTAAAAGAGACGTGGGGAGCGGTGGAATAACCAAACAAGAAAGAATAAAAGAGTACAAATAAGAGTCCGTAGGATTTCTTTACATTATATATTTACCAAAAAAAATAAAACAATTATATATAATATACCATATGTGACTATGTGTATGGGAATACAACTTAGTGTCATTAAACCATGAGGTCTTGATCAGAATTGTGTAATTTGGAAAGAGAGAAAAAAAAATTAATTTTTAATTAAAAACGATAAGTGCATTGTAATTTCATTTTATTTGTTGTCTCATCCCCAAAATTTTTCCCTATTTTGTCCGCATTTTCCAAAAAAATTGAATCCACCCCTATATATACAAATCTCAATTATACAGAAAGTAAGAAGAGAATTACTAGAAAGATGGAGATGGTGTTTGGTATGGCAGCTGGTGTTGTGTTCTTGGTGTGGCTATGGAGAGTGTTGAACTGGGCATGGTTTAGGCCAAGAAAGTTGCAGAAGTGGCTGAGACAACAGGGCCTTAAGGGGAACGAATATAAGTTCATCTTTGGGGACCTCAAACAGCTAACCAAGAGCGCCAAAGAAGCCAAGTCCAAGCCAATGAATCTCTCACATGACATATCCCCAAGACTCCTTCCTTTCTTCATTGATGCCATCCACAAAAATGGTAAGTTTCACAATCTTTAATTTTGTGTGGGTTGATTCCAAGATTCACTATTATTGGCTTGAATTCACTTCTAGAAAATGTTGATAACATGAACGTGGAGTAATCATTTCTCTAGAAACAAATTCACTTCTCCAGTTCTCCTGCAAAGCGTTTTAGTGTTAATTATTTCTTTGCAAGGTGGTTGCATGTAATCAGGTTTGAAGGGATGAATCTGTATTCAATCCGCTAAATGTGAATTTAGAAAATTTCATCTGCGTGTGGGAATTATGTTCAAAGTGAGCAGATTCTTTGTGCGCACAGACATTTAGCCTTGTCCGCTGAATATTGAGTCACCGTGATTTACATCCTCCCAAATACTCTGTCGGGCTGGAGTATAGGGTCCTTAGGATTGGAGATTCAGCCTTTTGGGAAAAAAAATCTCATCTGCATTTATTAAAAGTGTGAATTCAATCCTATATGTTCCACCAATAATGACTTCGATGTCGATTGAATTGAATGGTGGATCATACATTTTAAAAATAAAATAAATTCTAATATTAAAATTCAAGCATGGAAATAAAAATCAAAGTGAAAATATTTTTTTAAATATTTCATTCAAAAAGGAAAAAAAAAATCTAATTTTAAAGATAAAAATACTTAATTTAACAATTCAAATAATTAAATTATTTACATATAGAGAATTAGGCAAGCGGATTAGATATAGTGACTTTTGGAACACCGTGGCAATTATATCCAAACATTTAAACTTAGTGAAAAAAAAAAAAAAAAAACAAACAAACACAAACCCTTCTATTTCTTGACAAGTATACCTATTTTTTTTTAAACACTCATTATTCTTTACAATGTAGTATTTGTTCTATACTTTCTTAAACATTTCAGCCCAAATAATCAATTTCCCTCCCCCGAGTTTGATCCGGTGACTACCCATTTGGGAATATACCCAATTATGCATAGAAATATTTACATACCTCTAAAGTTTGATAAATTGATATCAAACATTTGTATTTTATAACAATTACGGAATATAATTTTTAACCCAAACTTCTTGAGTTTGCGCACAAATTATTTAAAAAGAACATCATAACATGATTTTTAAAAATATAATGTATGAAAATATCCACTTTATACAAGTAAAAGTTTAAAATTAAACTCTTTAAACAAATACTTTACAGTATAAAACCCTGTTTGAATATTATATTGCAGTAGACACTAATTAATACTTAAATCGAGAGATCAGATCTGAATTATTTTTAGAGCTATATACTATAATTGACTACCATTGTAAGAAAATACAAAGCTTTGTTTTTCATCAAGTTTATAAAGTATAAATGTGTAGATGTTTTCAGCCAATAAATCTTATAAATAAAATAGCTTTACTTGAAGAACAGAACTATCTGTGTATTATACATACTAGAAAAGACTGTCAACTTGGTAACTGGAAACATATATTATATGTAGGTGAGAATTCGTTTGTATGGCTTGGGCCAAATCCATTGGTACTCATCAAGGAACCTGGACTCATAAGGGATATCTTAACTAAGTACGCTATGTACCATAAGCCTATGCCCAATCCGCTGGCCAAACTGCTAGTCCTAGGAGTTGGAACTTACGAAGAAGATAAATGGTACAAACATAGGAGAATCGTCAATCCTGCTTTTCATATGGAGAAGTTAAAGGTTTGTTTCATTTCATTATATTTTTGGTTTTGTTGTAAAATAAAAGAATGAATTCATAATAAGTTTGGTCTTAGTACAGCATATGGTACCAGCTTTCTACATGAGCTGTGTTGAAATGTTGGGCAAATGGGAGAAGAACGTGGGTGACCAAGGTTTAGCCGAGGTGGATGTGTGGCCTCACCTTCAACAGATTAGCGGTGATGCAATTTCCAGAACTGCATTTGGGAGCAACTATGAAGAAGGAAGAAAGATATTTGAACTCCAAAAGGAACAAGCCCAGCATAAGACAGAACTTTTGGGTTCTGTATATATACCAGGATCAAGGTAGAGTTAAATTGATTTTTAATTTACTAAAGGACTGCATTCCGATTCTGAACGTCTTATCACTCTGTTACTATTGCTAGCGAAACAGAGCTATTAACTCTTTTTGAATTGACTAATCATCTAAATTATGCCACAGGGCGGGTTGCCCTTTATGTTTTTGGTTTTCTATTGAGTGGATCGGATGAATTATTGGTGCATGGCAGGTTCTTACCAACTAGGAGGAACAGAAGAATGAAGGAAATTGAGAAGCAGGTTCAAGCATTAATTAGGTGTATAATTGACAAGAGAGTGAAAGCAATGAAAGCAGGGGAAGGTAGTAAGAACGATCTATTGGGCATATTACTGGAATCAAATTTTAAAGAAATTGAAAAACATGGAAACAAAGATTTTGGATTGACCACCAGAGAGGTGATTGAAGAGTGCAAACTGTTCTATCTTGCTGGTCAGGAGACCACCTCTGCATTGCTTGTTTGGACAATGGTTTTGTTGTGTATGTATCAAGAATGGCAAACAAGAGCTAGAGAAGAGGTTTTTCGGCTATTCGGTAAAGACAAACCAGATATCGATGGATTAAATCATATGAAAATTGTAAGTACACTAAACGATTTGGTACACATTCTATTATCAACTTTTTGAATCTCCACACTAACCGTGTACATGTTCAAAAACAGGTGACAATGATTCTAAATGAATCCCTAAGACTATATCCACCGGCAGCATCACTTACTCGAAGGAATAAAGAAGAAACTAGGCTAGGAGACCTAATGCTTCCCCCAGGGGTTCTAATATCAATCCCAGTGATCTTAAATCATCACGACGAAAAGATATGGGGCGACGATGCAAAAGAGTTCAACCCCGAGAGATTCAGTGAAGGAGTGTCAAAGGCAACTAAAGGAGAGTTAACTTTTCTCCCCTTTGGTGGAGGACCTCGAATATGTCTTGGGCAAAACTTCGCAATGCTCGAAGCAAAACTGGTAATGGCTATGATTTTGCAGCGTTACTCTTTTGAGCTCTCCCCTTCGTACGCACATGCTCCCACCTCCATTATAAGTCTGCAACCCCAGTATGGAGCTCCGCTTCTGTTGCGCAAATTGTAGTCAGGAATATCACATATATTTAGGCATCTATGCTTTTCAACATCATTCTAAAAATGTTCGTTTGAAGATGATTTTGTCTTACAGACCAAAGACGTTGTCTAGTGTCTGTTGGTTTTAAAAGATTGGTGTTTGTTTTTTTAAACAATTGCCGAATCATTATAAATCTCCTCTCTTATGCTTGTGTGTGCATATTATTCTTATTTAAATTGTGCTTTTTTCATCCCATACAATATCTATTTCTACTAGAAGGATTTATTAACTTCCTGGGCCGCCCGCCCCCTCTTAAAAATGGCAATTTATAACGTGCACTCAGGCGCACATTGCATTGTGCGCCCTGATGCAAACGACGTCGTTTCAGATTTTTTTTTTTTTTTTGAAATTTCGCTACCCAATGTTGGCAGTTAATCTATACTTCTATACTATATATAATAACAAAATTCTGAAATTTTAACTTCCCGCCCAATTCTTAAAAAAATCTCTCTTCCCAATAAAATATATTGATGTCTACTTTCCCATTCGTACAATAATTCTGGGTTAAAAATTCTATTCTGAAATTATAAAATAATGTAATACAATTCCCTTTGCACATCTAATCTATACTATATATAATAACAAAATCCTGAAATTTTAACTTCCCGCCCAATTCCTAAAAAATCTCCATTCCCAATAAAATATATTGATGTCTACTTTCCCATTCGTACAATAATTCTGGGTTAAAGTTGTGAAGTGTCAAAAGTTCGACAACGCATAACTTTTGACTCGGTTGTCCGTTTTGGACAAATGTCTTTTTGAAATTGCGTATTTTTTCGAGATCTATCCATCGCAAATTGCCGTAGGCGGTTTGGCCCACCAATTTCTAAAAAAAATGCTTTATTAAATAGTTTCTAAGAAAAAACTATAAGAACTTTATGTTTTATTAATGAATTTTTAAAATTTTTAATTTAAAAATTGTCCCGTGCTTTATTTAATAATCTGTTTTTATAATTGGTCAAATTATTTAATTTTGGTAAATTAGGGAATAATTAATGATGGTAATAGAAATCCTAGAAGAATATTGAATTGAAGAATATTTAATTATTGTTATAATATTATTGTGACTCACGAAATACAATATAAGAATATTTAATTATGATTTTATTGTTATTGTTTGCCTCACGCCCATTATATGCTAACAAAACTTGAAAAGAAACTAATAATAATAATAATAATAATATAATAATAATAATAATATGTGGTAAAAATAATATCTATAAATAATTAAGTGTTAATAATAATAGTAAGAATATTAACGTAAGAATTATAATATAGAATAAATCGTAATAATTAATAACCATAGTCTAGGATTAAATTTGGAATTGTCAGGAAAGATATGCGACCTCTGGTGAAATTAACTCTTAAATAATTATATATCGATTTAAATATTCTTAATATATTACAACAATTCCATTCCGTGCATCGCACGGGTGAAAATACTAGTTTTTCTTTAAAAAAAAATCTCATGTTCAAAAATATACATAATTTTATATTAGAATACACATAATTGTATACATGAATGTACATAATTGTATAAACAAATATACATAATTGTATAAACAAATACACATAATTGAATAAACAAATACACATAATTGTATAAACAAATATACATAATCACGTCAACTCCATACATAACTTACCAAAACGACGTCGTTTTGGGAAGTGCGGAACGCCTAATGCTATGTGCACCGTGGTGCAAGGTATAATGATTGAAAAATAATAATAATCTATTTCATAATACATATCATATTATCGTCATAGCAAATTATTGAATATTACAAGTGCACATCATCAAATAGTGATTACAAATTTTTTTGTTATTATTTTGTGCAAAGAACGAAGATATATTTACAGTATATTATTTATTAATTATATTCAAAGCGTTCGTATGTGTTGTTTATGTTTCTTTATTGATATTTTTTGTTGAACTATTAAAAATCAGCCATTATAATATAATGTCCATCACTCAACGTAACATCTACGAGTATTATTTTTGTCTTTGACATCTGTCCCATGCATTTATAATTCTAGAAGGTTAATTGATGTCAGGCCACAGACACACTACTGCCACATGTTATGATAAGATATATTTACTCAAGAGAACAACGAAAGCAAACAAAAATCACATAGTAAAAATAAAATATACAACAATGTTTTCTTAAATATTGTTCTTTAATTAAAAGGAGACAGGAATAATGGCATAGAAAACATTGATTATTATGTGCAAAGTATGATAATTTCAACGGTTTGATTTGTTAAGAGCGACACATTTTGGATCATTCATTCATTTAAAAGGCTGAACCCCAACCTTAAGGATCCCCTTACACTCCGACCGATACATCATTTAGGAAGATGTAAATCATGGTAACTCAACTAAACATGAACCACAGAGGCTAGACCTTTACTTATTGCGCACAAGAAGTCCCTCACTTTGAGAGGTGGACTATTCATTCATTGATTCTCTTATGAGATGGTTAATAGTGATACCTTTTGGATAAATCCAAAAATTTTCTGTTTTTTGCATTTCTTTTGTTGCTTTTGGCATTTTCTTTCATTCTAGCTTGGTTGTAAAGATTTTGACCAGTATTGTATTTCAATATATCATCGCTCATCCGGTATTTGCTAAGCTTAGCTGTTAAGCAAAACAAAAAATAAAAATAAAAAGATAATCAATTAATGTGAATCAAACTATAATAAAAGGGTTTTCAAAAAAAAAAAAAACTATAATAAAAGAGTATTACTCACCCTGAGTGTATTTTGCGCCATGTCCAAAACGACGTTGTTTTTATGTTAAAAGCTTATGTGTATTATGTATTATGTTAGATTATGTGTATTATGGTATGCGTTTATGTGTATTCTATCATACAATTCTGTACATTCGAAATTTGAATTTTTTTTTAAAAAAAAGTTAACGACAGAAACGAGAAACGAAATCTCTAAAAAAAATAAAAACAGATACAAAACGACGTCGTTTTGATCAAAGTGCACAATACATTGTATACCCTGATGCACGATATAATTTGCCGTATTCAACACTGAATTTCCATTTGGTTGCTTAAAAAAAACTATAATAAAAGGGTTTTAAAAACTTCAAAAATTAAGCTACCCATATAACATATATATATATATATATATATATATATATGGTTAGGTTTCCGTGCAGACAGACGGGATAGTGCTTTCCGTGCGATTATACACCATTAGGTAAATCATTTTTTGGTGTGATGTGCATTTTGTGGTGCATTTGTCGTTTTATTTTGGTGTATTTTCAAACACTGTGGTGCATTTATGCATACGTAATAGTGAAATCCACAACGGCAGAAGTCATATCCATTTGAACCAGTATATATATATATATATATATATATAATTCATTAAAAAATAAATGAATAAAATTGGTCCGTAGCTTTTTGATAAATGTGGCTCAAGCTTCTACAGGTTGTGTGTGTATATAAATATATCTCAGGCCCTGTCCTCTTCAATTATACAGAAAGTAAGAAGGAGAATTTCTACAAACATTTTTGCGGAACACATACAGTCCAGATGGAGATGGTGTTTGGTCTGGCAGCTGTTTCTTTTGCTGTTGTTTTCTTGGTGTACCTATGGAGAGTGCTTAACTGGGCATGGTTTAGGCCAAGAAAGTTGCAGAAGTGCCTGAGACAACAGGGCCTTAAGGGGAACAAATATAAGTTCATCTTTGGGGACCTCAAACAGCTAACCAAGACCACCAAAGAAGCGAAGTCCAAGCCAATGAATCTCTCAGATGACATATCCCCAAGAGTATTTCCTTTCTTCATTGATGCCATCCACAAAAATGGTAAGTTTCACAAGCTTAGCTTAGCTTTCGTGTTGGCTGATTCTAAGATTCACTATTATATTAATTATCTAACTGGAAATTAAATTAACATATGTAGGTGAGAATTCGTTTGTATGGCTTGGGCCAAACCCAGTGGTATTCATCAAGGATTCTGAACTCATAAAGGAAGTCTTAACTAAGCATACTGTGTTTCAAAAGCCTCCTTCCAATCCCCTCACCAAATTGTTAGCCCAAGGAGTTGTATCTTATGAAGAAGATAAGTGGTCCAAACACAGAAGAATCATCAATCCAGCCTTTCATATGGAGAAGTTAAAGGTTTCGTTTTTTCCCTGTGTCATTTCATTTTGCTTTTAATTTGTTCTAAAACGAAGAATTGTTTATAAGTTTGGTTTTACCATTTTCTTCAAATATAGCATATGATACCGGCTTTCTACTTGAGCTGTATTGAAATGTTGGGCGAATGGGAAAAGAAGATGGGCAACCAAGCTGGTTTAGCCGAGGTAGATGTGTGGCCTCACCTTCAACAGTTGAGCAGTGATGCAATTTCGCGAACCGCATTTGGGAGCAACTATGAAGAAGGAAGGAAAATATTTGAACTCCAAAAGGAACAGGCCGAGCATGTAATAGAAGTTTCTCGCTCAATATATATCCCGGGATGGAGGTAAAGTTAAATTGACTTTGGCTGCTAGCCAAACAAAGTATTGAATGTTTTTGGATAGGTCAGAGGTGTTTTTATGTTTTTAGTTTGATAATTGAAGTTGTGGTTTTTTGAGTTAGTGAATTATTGATGCAGGTTCTTGCCAACTAAGAGGAACAAAAGAATGAAGGAAATTGAGAAGCAGGTTCAAGCATCAATTAGGTGTATAATTGACAAGAGAGTGAAGGCAATGAAAGCAGGGGAAGGTAGTAAGGATGATCTATTGGGCATATTATTGGAATCCAATTTTAAAGAAATTGAAAAACATGGAAATAATGATTTTGGAATGACCACGGGAGAAGTGATTGAAGAGTGCAAGTTGTTTTATTTTGCTGGTCAAGAGACCACCTCTGTGTTGCTTGTTTGGACTATGATCTTGTTGAGTAGGCATCAAGAATGGCAAACAAGAGCTAGAGAAGAGGTTTTACAACTCTATGGCAAAGATAAACCAGATATTGATGGATTAAATCGTCTAAAAATTGTAAGTACATTAAACACTTTAATATGTCTTGAGCTAGCATATAATATATAACTTAGTATTAGTTTTTTGAATCTCCACGCTAAATATATACATGGTCTCAAACAGGTGACGATGATTCTAAACGAATCTTTGAGGCTATATCCACCTGCAGTGTCACTTGCTCGAAGGACTAAACAAGAAACTAAGCTAGGGGACCTAACACTTCCCCCCGGAGTTATTATCTCAATGCCACTCATCTTAAATCATCATGACGAGAAGATATGGGGCGATGACGCAAAGGAGTTCAAGCCAGAAAGATTCAGTGAAGGAGTGTCAAAGGCAACTAAAGGACAGCTAACGTTCCTCCCCTTTGGCGGAGGACCTCGAATATGTGTTGGGCTAAACTTCGCAATGCTTGAAGCAAAACTGGTCATGGCCATGATTTTGCAACATTACTCTTTTGAGCTCTCCCCATCGTACGCACATGCCCCCACCACTGTTATAACTCTGCAACCTCAGTATGGCGCTCCGCTTCTACTTCGCAAACTGTAGTTAATTAGGAATATCACATATATTCAGTCTTGAAGGATTATACAACTTTCTTTAGAGTAGTTAAATTTATAACTTTGTAGTTATAAAATTACCAACTTAACTAATAAATTTGTATTTTAAAATTTAAAGTCAGTCACAGTGTGTTGAGCATATAATCATTAATGTGCAATTCAACTATCAGCTTAGACTTTTAGGTGAGATGGAACATATGTTTCAATTTGGTATCAGAGTCTCTTGCTTGGAACTCACCGCATATGTGATGGGGCATGTTGAGCATATAACCTGTGCAATTCAACTATACACATGCTTCTATTCAGTGTACCAGAAATGACTGTGATGTTTAAAGCTGACGAACGGCCTTCTGCCACACAATCTTGTAGAGATATTATTTGAGCCCTTCTTTATGGACCGACATATTGAACATAAAGTTGGAAGGACTGAAGGAGCTAGAATAGTATCCATTTTTCTTCTCCCAAATACTTAGATGGAGAGTGTTCATGGCCTATTAGCTTTTCCATTTGCAGTAGCTATCTTTGTACTTTCCTGGAGAGCTTTGAACTGGGCATGGTTGAAGCCCAGAAAGCTAGAGAAATGCCTTAGACAACAGGGCTTCAAGGGGAATTCTTATCGTTTCTTGCTTGGAGATCTAAGAGAGCTGAACAAGGCACTGGGAGAAGCCAAGTCCAAGCCGCCATTGAATAATCTTTCAGATGACATAGCCTCAAGAATTGTTCCTTACTTCATTGATTCCATTCAAGAATATGGTACGGTTGTTAAGTTTCACCATCTTTCTTCAGATCCAGTATAATATATAATTGTTGATATAAGCAAAAAAGAAACAAAATTGCAGGTGAGAATTGCTTTATATGGCTTGGGCCAAACCCAATGGTGTTCATCAAGGACCCTGAGCTTATAAAGGAGGTCTTAAATAAGTATACTGTCTATCAGAAGCCGCGTTTCAGTCCACTCACCAAACTGTTGGCTGAAGGACTAGCTGCCTCTGAAGAAGATAAATGGAATAAACACAGAAAAATCATTAATCCCGCCTTCCATGTTGAAAAGTTAAAGGTTCATTTTTTCTAACATAAATCTATTTCAGGCTTCTTAATTATGTGATTGTTGCAACTTTGAATGTCAAATTTATATATATTAGGCAGAAGTGTCAAATAGGCTCAATTTTCACCACGAACTAAATTAAGTGTTAAATAAGCACATCTATCAGCTAAATTTGTTCGATTGACTTTTTTTGTTGCTAACAGGTTGTCTATTCAATTATTAAAAAAATAAAAAATAAATAAATAAGGAATTTCAGCCCGGCTAATTGCGCTGGACAGCCCGTGGTTAAAATTCTTTTTTTATTTATTTTTTATTTTTTAATAATTGAATAGGCAACCTGTTAGCAACCTCCAACAAAAATTAATCGAACAAATTTAGCCGGTAGATGGGCCTATTTGACACTTAATTTAGTTCGTGATGAGAATTGAGTACTTTGCAGTAGTAGATGCTATTTGACACTTATATATAATATATAGCATATGCTGCCGGCTTTCTACACGAGTTGTGCTGAGATGTTGGGCAAATGGGAGAAGATTATGCCTGAGGAAGGATGTTCAGAGATAGATGTGTGGCCTCACCTACAGCAATTGACCTGTGATGCCATTTCCCAGACAGCTTTCGGGAGTAACTACGAAGAAGGAAGGAAGATATTCGAGCTCCAAAAGGAACAAGCAGGGCATGTAATCGAGACATCGCGCTCAATTTATATCCCGGGATGGAGGTAACATAAGCGTTGGGGATGCCTGAAATCTCAACTAAAAGCTTAAGCTGATAGTTGGATTGCACATTAATGGCTATATGCTCAACAGCCTGAAGGGCACCTGGTGGCCAGAGTGGTAAGATTAAACTGTTTTTTTTTTCTATTGCAGGTTTATCCCTACTAAGAAGAACAGAAGAATGATGGAAATTGACAGGCAAGTTGAAGCATCAATAGGTGATATAGTTGACAGGAGAGTGAAGGCAATGGAAGCTGGAGAAGCTGCTAAGGATGATCTATTGGGCATTTTACTGGACTCCAATTTTAAAGAAATCGAAAAACATGAAAACAAGGATTTTGGAATGACCAGAAGGGAGGTGATTGATGAGTGCAAGTTGTTCTATTTTGCTGGGCAAGAGACCAGCGCTGTGTTACTTGTCTGGACTATGGTCTTGTTGAGTAGGCATCAAGAATGGCAAACGCGAGCCAGAGAAGAGGTTTTGCAGCTATTTGGCCGAGATAAACCCAAGCTTGAAGGATTAAATCGTTTGAAAATCGTAAGTAATCCAGCAACTATTGTTTAGTTAATTACTTGCAAAATTGAAGCTAATAAGGTGTTGAATTCGGTGTCTTTTCGTATTGGGTACAACTATTTAAGTATTTATACTAGTCGGAGTAGTATCTATAGTGTCACCAGTACAAATTAACACTTCACAGACATCAATAGTCTCTAATTTAAACATTTTTGTTGGAAATATAGGTGACGATGATTTTAAACGAGTCTTTGAGATTGTATCCACCAGGGCCAACCATAACCAGGAGGACAAATGAAGAAACTAAACTTGGGAATCTATTATTACCCCCGGGGGTTCTAATCTCAATACCAATTATCTTATTGCACCATAATGAAGAATTATGGGGCAATGATGCAAAAGAGTTTAAGCCAGAGAGATTCAGCGAAGGAGTTTCAAAAGTGACTAATGGACAGCTAGCCTTCCTCCCATTTGGCGGTGGACCTCGAATATGCATCGGCCTAAACTTTACAATGCTTGAAAGTAAAATGGCGCTGGCTATGATACTGCAACGCTTCACCTTCGAGCTCTCTCCATCATATACGCACTCTCCCACCACTGTCATCACTATTCATCCCCAATATGGTGCTCCCCTGCTTTTCCACAAGTTATAACAGCTTAATATAACCTAGTATTGATCATGCTTGTGTCAAAGATACGCAGATCCTAGACTCAAATGTTGCCCAATCTACTCATAGGCTCAAATGCTACCCAATCTACTCAAATTGATTTGGAATCAATTTAATTATTTTATTTTCTATTTAAGCATGTTTTTTTTTTAATATAGTATTAGTAGCAATAATATGTGTTTCTTTATAGCACAGAAGTTGTAATCCCTTTATATGGGGAAGTATTACACAAACTATATTAAGCTAGAATTTGAATAAAATCAAAATGAAGTTTTGTTCCTCGGGTCCGTCCCTCTCTTCCTTCACCATAGGTAGATTGTCCTTTTTCGTGAGCCATAGACATGTGACACGAAGCCAAACTTCCTACACATATCATCCGGTTCCCGTTGTTGGTATTATGGGTACTGATTTGAATAACGAACCCGTCATTTAAGCCTTTCAAAAATCTGTCAAAGCATTGGAATTGCAACACGACAAACTTGTCTGCAACGGTTGTTTCTTTATCCGCAGCTTCCCTTGCCAACTTAGAGAGATTGGTGAAGCAAATATTGATCAATCAAGGGAAACAGTCCATTCAAGAGGAAGAATCTGGGGTTGTTCACACTGAGGGTGTTTCCACTACAGCAAACGTGGGGGCATCACTCTCGACATTTTCACAAATACCCCAAGATCGAATTTCCTTTATTAGAGCATGATGTAGAAGGGGATAATGAGAGTTAGTTGAGGGCCTTCTGGTCTTTGGATCACCTTGGCAGTTCCAACGGCTTTTGCCGCCCTTTTCCTTGTATATTTGCTCTTCTTGTATTCGGCTAACAGAATTAATGGAAACAGTTCTCATCACTCTCTCATCTCAATCCCTCTCTGCTTTTTCCGATCATCTCCTTGGCTGATCTCCGACATGGTATCAGAGCAAGGAAAGAGATCCTACGCCGGAGCAGTTACCGGCGTGGGAGAAGCCAGCCAGCCGCCGCAACCACGAATGAATCAACCACCGATCAACGCTCCACCGATCATAGCTCCGCAGCGGAATCAGACTGAGGATGTTGAGAATCCTTTGTATCTCAACTCCAACGAGAATCCGAACACCATCCTTGTCAGTCCTCCTCTCAATGGCAATTCGAACTACGCTTCATGGAGCATCTCGATGCAAGTTGCATTAGAGGTGAAAAACAAATGGTTTCTCATCGATGGAAGCGTGCCGGCACCGGATAGAACTCAAAACAACTATCAAGCGTGGAGAAGATGCAATCTGATGGTGAAGTCCTGGATACTCAAAACTGTGCATCCATCCATTGCACAAAGCGTGATGTACATGGAAGCAGCGAAAGATGTTTGGAACGATTTCAGAAAGCGATTCTCTCAGCGAGATGCGCACCGTATATCGACTTTGCAGAATGAGATTTACAATCTGAGGCAGGGAAGTCTATCGGTGAATGAATATTATACCAAATGCAGAACGTTTTGGGAAGAGATGTATGAGCTACGTCCCCTTCCGGTCTGCAAATGCAACTCCCTATGCTCCTGCAACCTAATCGATCTCGTCAGAAAAGATCGAGAAATAGATGAGATCATCCGATTCCTGCAAGGCTTAGGTGATGACTATAATCCGCTCAAATCTAACATCCTTGTGCTTGACCCTTTGCCAGAAATGTACAAGGTGTTTGTTATGGCAGAAAAGTTCGAGAGACAATTAAGCATCACTAGCTCAAGCCTACAGTTCAACCTTGCCAATGCTGTTCACAATGAACTCAGTTCCAATGATGAAAACAGTGTAGCGGCAGTGAACTACTATAACGGAAAGAGAAACATGAACTCAGGCAGTGGAAATCGAAATGCTAAATGCACCTATTGTGGGATGACTGGTCACACCGTGGAGAAGTGCTATAAGAAGCACGGCTATCCACCGGGATGGATTCCGGGGTTCAAATCCAAAGGAAAACAACCGGCAATGGCAGCCTCTGCTAGCTCGGACAATGCTACCACTTCTGAACAGCTTTAGAAACTTATATCTCTATTACAGATCCAAGTTGATCAACACCAGACTCCTACTACTGCTGCTGCTGTCTCTCTTATTCCCAATCGCACAGAACATGGAGCTCAAGCAGAAGGCAAGTCCTACTTCACTTCTCATATAAATTCTCTTAATCTCTGTGATTCTACTTGGATTT